ACGAAAGTGTGAAGCGCGTCAGCTCTATATTTTTCATTCAAAACGGCTGCTGCGGCCGAATCATAAGTCATAAGAGTTTTATTTATAATTAGTGTCAAGTTTTTCTCTACTTCATCGTAGTATTTCAACAAGGGCAAGTCGCCCTGTCTCAGAATATTCAGGTTTTGTTGGATCACATGTACCGGCGTTTTGTCGGCAAATGTGAAATCCAATCTTGCAATTATAGCGTTAAAATTTAGCACAGTGTTGAAGGATGCAAGTACTGCATCTGCAGGTCCCCTTATTTTATTTCTAATAATGGCAACTGCCTGGTAATGCCTAGAGCTCCCGTTGTAGGGCTCGAAAACCTTATATGCCGATGCAGCAGCTTGTCTCCAAGAGACGTAATTGTCTTGCTTCCCATCAAACTCGGGGATAGACTTCACTATGTCTAAGGGCTCGTCGCACCTTTGCCCTGGTACAATTTCTGTGGCCAGGTATACCTTCACCTCTGGCACGGTCCCCCTAAGATTATTCAACTGATCTGTAACTACCGCGAGCTTTTGCTCGAAAAGCTGTGCCTGTTGTTCAAGGCACGCCCGCATTTGGACCTCCAGATTTGCCACTTGTTGTTCACTCATGCTGTTAGTTGAACTTATAGCCCTGTATGAAGGTATTAACTCTTCGTCACTACTGTCCGTTCGTTTATCGGTTCTGTACATCAAGATATGAGTCTCTAATCTACTCCTTTTGGATTTGTCAGTAACAAAACTTGCATATAACAATTTAAATTAAAAAAAATTGAACATTTATGACATAAAACTGTCTTCTTTTTTCAAATCCCCGCAGAATGAATTTGCGGTAAACCTATAAAAATTGTATAGGTTTTGCTTCAATAATATAAAAATATAATAAAAACAATATAACAATACAACAAAAATACAATCAAAAATCTTATACTCGACAACGTCAATTTGTTGTCACAATTTGCATAGAAAAATGTGAAAAATTTCAAACCTCAGCAGCACAAACGTCCGTCAATTGAGGGAAAAAAAAATTCCACTGCACAAATTTGTGTGAAAAAACAAAAAAAAAATTTTTCTCTTTATATTTTTTCCTTTTTATCTTTACGCAACACAAACGAGAGAGATTTTCCTGGCTCACGCTAATTCTGGACAATTGGTTTCGCTTTTCTTTTATTTTTATTTATTTAAAATAAGGCAATATAAACACTTCACTTACATGAACTTCATATTTCTAAGAAACTCCAGTTGCTGGTGGCCGATGCGTGTAGCGCTGTCTGTAGGGTGCCGAATCCTCCTCGTGTAGTTGCTGGGACTGCCGTTGGGGCCGCTGCTTGGTTTTGCACTGCTCTGAACTTTAGAGCTGTTTTTTCTTTTTTTCTGCTCTTTTCACTCGCTCAGCAATAGCCGCTGGGGTTTTATTTTTTTAATTATTTTTTATTTATATTTTTTTTCATCTGAAGCTTCTGTCACCTTTTCAGATGTTGAAGTCTCACTTTAAACTGCTTGCTGTATCACTTCGATTATTTTTACTTTTAGTTACTTTTCAGATGTTGAAGTCTCACTTTAAACTGCTTGTTGTAGTACTTTAATTATTTTTACTTTTAGTTACTTTTCAGATGTTGAAGTCTCACTTTAAACTGCTTGCTGTATCACTTCAATTATTTTTACTTTTAGTTACTTTTCAGATGTTGAAGTCTCACTTTAAACTGCTTGTTGTAGCACTTTAATTATTTTTGGTTACTAGTAATTGTAACAATTAGTACATCTATCACGGCGTTTGGCACGACGATATTATTTTGTTTTAATTTTTTTAGTATGTTAGCACTTGGCATGTTAATCGCGGCGTTGGCACGACGATGTTGTTTTTCTTTTTTTTATTCTTATTAAATGTAACACTAAATACTTTTCTCGCGGCGTTGCCCCACGTTGGGCGCCAGTAAACAAATCTCGGTTGGAGTAGGTTTCGTTTAGATGTTTATTTAGCTCAACTGAGCATAATGAGTTCCAAATTAAAACTAACTTAAATAAATATTCAATGCAGGCCACATAGCCTATGGCCCGCGGCAGCGCCGGAGCATAGCCCATGGGCCGTGGCAGCGCAGGCAACAGAACGCTGACTCGGCGCCTCGTGACCGTTCTTGCAGTGGTCACTCAGCGCAGGCATGCGGGTGTCAGGTTCCGCCGGCCGCTGAGTTGCAACGGCGTCCGGTCTGATGACTTGGTCAGCAGATATTGCCTTGCGCGTGTGAACTGGCATCTGTGTTGCAACGGCGTCCGGTCTAATGACCTGGTCAGCAGATTCTGCCTTGCGCGTGTTAACTTATATACTTTGTGGGGTCTACCAAGCCTCCTTCTGTGTGTTCCATGAGCACTCGCACAAAACTAATATACCCTTGTACCCTTTGGGTACAGGGTATAAAAATAATACTAAGCGAAAATATTACTCCCAAAAAAAAAACAAACTAACGATAAGTTGAACTTAAAATTCCCGCCCTATGCACAGACCCGCTAATCTGTGCCAAAATACCCTATCGATACTTATTAATATCGATGGTTCAGCCCAGGAGCAGCTGTGCTAGACCGGGACCATTCACAATGGACTCCCTGTCTATTGATAACTTATTTGCTGCTACGCAAATAAATAAATAAAAAGGTAATTAATACACTAACTGACCATAAGTCCCAAAAAAAACAGATTCTCACAATTACAGACTCAACAACCAGACATGTAAGGGTGAGATGGGGATCCTCAGTATGACGCTGCACCACGGCACGCAGTCACTGCAGAAGGTAAACAACCAAAACAAACATATATCTATCGCACGCTTTATACCACCAAATTTCTTCCAGGCGCCTACTAAAACTCAAATCCTGCTCGGGCTATGGCGAATTGCTGCTCCCATGCTCTGCTACGTAGGGCAACGATGCTCCTTCCGCTTGGGACAGGACATGGACCTACTACGCAACCATACATAAGAACTACCAAACAACCACAAAAAAAAGGTAACTAACACAAAAAAACAAGGCAACTAGACTATTCTTTACTTAACACCTAACAGACATTACTCTCGATCTTTCCAGCCTCGGAACACCCTGTAGGGCAACAATGAGTGGGCACCAAGACCCCTCACGGACCTGCTACATCTGCCCCTTCGCTGCACCTACTCTGCTGGCTACCAACCTACACCGTGCTGTAAGAAGGATGCACCTGCGGCAACGATGGGCTGAGCCATAGTGAAGCTCACCCACGGACCTGGCAGTTGCACCGTTTCCCGCCGGCTCCGGGGCCGCCAGCAGCTATTGCTGTTGAAAGTTACATTAAAACACTAAATAAAGAAAACAAATCAACAAAAAAAACAAACAACAAGACTCTGGATTTTACCTCGCTTCGGACTGGGGCAACATTTGCCAAAATGTTTACCCAGGTGTATTTCAATTGGGCGCCATCTTGTTATGTCTGCCTTTGCCAGTGCATCCCCTGTCGTTACGGGGGTGCGGCAGACCAACAATGAATTTTTTTTTTTCAAACACACCTACTCATATTGTCGGCTGAGGGACGCCTGTGGAATTTGTTGTTTGCACTGCTCTGAACTTTAGAGCTGTTTTTTCTTTTTTTCTGCTCTTTTCACTCGCTCAGCAATAGCCGCTGGGGTTTTATTTTTTTAATTATTTTTTATTTATATTTTTTTTCATCTGAAGCTTCTGTCACCTTTTCAGATGTTGAAGTCTCACTTTAAACTGCTTGCTGTATCACTTCGATTATTTTTACTTTTAGTTACTTTTCAGATGTTGAAGTCTCACTTTAAACTGCTTGTTGTAGTACTTTAATTATTTTTACTTTTAGTTACTTTTCAGATGTTGAAGTCTCACTTTAAACTGCTTGCTGTATCACTTCAATTATTTTTACTTTTAGTTACTTTTCAGATGTTGAAGTCTCACTTTAAACTGCTTGTTGTAGCACTTTAATTATTTTTGGTTACTAGTAATTGTAACAATTAGTACGTCTATCACGGCGTTTGGCACGACGATATTATTTTGTTTTAATTTTTTTAGTATGTTAGCACTTGGCATGTTAATCGCGGCGTTGGCACGACGATGTTGTTTTTCTTTTTTTTATTCTTATTAAATGTAACACTAAATACTTTTCTCGCGGCGTTGCCCCACGTTGGGCGCCAGTAAACAAATCTCGGTTGGAGTAGGTTTCGTTTAGATGTTTATTTAGCTCAACTGAGCATAATGAGTTCCAAATTAAAACTAACTTAAATAAATATTCAATGCAGGCCACATAGCCTATGGCCCGCGGCAGCGCCGGAGCATAGCCCATGGGCCGTGGCAGCGCAGGCAACAGAACGCTGACTCGGCGCCTCGTGACCGTTCTTGCAGTGGTCACTCAGCGCAGGCATGCGGGTGTCAGGTTCCGCCGGCCGCTGAGTTGCAACGGCGTCCGGTCTGATGACTTGGTCAGCAGATATTGCCTTGCGCGTGTGAACTGGCATCTGTGTTGCAACGGCGTCCGGTCTAATGACCTGGTCAGCAGATTCTGCCTTGCGCGTGTTAACTTATATACTTTGTGGGGTCTACCAAGCCTCCTTCTGTGTGTTCCATGAGCACTCGCACAAAACTAATATACCCTTGTACCCTTTGGGTACAGGGTATAAAAATAATACTAAGCGAAAATATTACTCCCAAAAAAAAAACAAACTAACGATAAGTTGAACTTAAAATTCCCGCCCTATGCACAGACCCGCTAATCTGTGCCAAAATACCCTATCGATACTTATTAATATCGATGGTTCAGCCCAGGAGCAGCTGTGCTAGACCGGGACCATTCACAATGGACTCCCTGTCTATTGATAACTTATTTGCTGCTACGCAAATAAATAAATAAAAAGGTAATTAATACACTAACTGACCATAAGTCCCAAAAAAAACAGATTCTCACAATTACAGACTCAACAACCAGACATGTAAGGGTGAGATGGGGATCCTCAGTATGACGCTGCACCACGGCACGCAGTCACTGCAGAAGGTAAACAACCAAAACAAACATATATCTATCGCACGCTTTATACCACCAAATTTCTTCCAGGCGCCTACTAAAACTCAAATCCTGCTCGGGCTATGGCGAATTGCTGCTCCCATGCTCTGCTACGTAGGGCAACGATGCTCCTTCCGCTTGGGACAGGACATGGACCTACTACGCAACCATACATAAGAACTACCAAACAACCACAAAAAAAAGGTAACTAACACAAAAAAACAAGGCAACTAGACTATTCTTTACTTAACACCTAACAGACATTACTCTCGATCTTTCCAGCCTCGGAACACCCTGTAGGGCAACAATGAGTGGGCACCAAGACCCCTCACGGACCTGCTACATCTGCCCCTTCGCTGCACCTACTCTGCTGGCTACCAACCTACACCGTGCTGTAAGAAGGATGCACCTGCGGCAACGATGGGCTGAGCCATAGTGAAGCTCACCCACGGACCTGGCAGTTGCACCGTTTCCCGCCGTCTCCGGGGCCGCCAGCAGCTATTGCTGTTGAAAGTTACATTAAAACACTAAATAAAGAAAACAAATCAACAAAAAAAACAAACAACAAGACTCTGGATTTTACCTCGCTTCGGACTGGGGCAACATTTGCCAAAATGTTTACCCAGGTGTATTTCAATTGGGCGCCATCTTGTTATGTCTGCCTTTGCCAGTGCATCCCCTGTCGTTACGGGGGTGCGGCAGACCAACAATGAATTTTTTTTTTTCAAACACACCTACTCATATTGTCGGCTGAGGGACGCCTGTGGAATTTGGGTGGCGTTGTGGCTACTTTGGTGTCATGTAGCCGCGTGGCCCTCCCTACCTTGAGCCGGTATTGGCATTTTGTTGCCGGCTCCCTTTAACATGCTTGCTTTGGTTTTCCTTCTGCTCCGGGACTTTTATCTCACCCCATAAATGGACTCTACTCCAGATTCATGTTCAAATTTTAAATTTTATTACAATAAAAATAGACTTTTATATTTAAGCCATTGAGTTTTGGGACGCTGCAGTTCGTTGGCTCTTTGTGCCTATTTAACTTATTTGATTTCCGAACCTCCTAACCTACCTATACTCGAGTATGAGATTATGTGGTTATGAGGGATATCATTACCAGGAGATAAGCAAAAAAAACTGCGCCGCTCCAATACACATTACAACATCCTTTACTTACATTAAATTTTATACATTTTTCTTTTACTTCTTTTTTTTCCTTTTTTTTTAAGTATACATTTGAATCTTTGTTTACAATATGGTTACTTGTTTGGTGTTGTGTTTCTGTTTAATGTTTTATATTATGTTGTGATTGTTTGGGCTATGTGTGTAACAGAAAATTGTTAATTGTTTTGTGTGTTGTATTGTATTGTTATGTGACCTGTACATGAAGGGTGTGTATTCTGATTTTTGGTTATGGCATACATGTGTATTTTTCTTTTGGTGTAGTATATTCGAGTTTGCTGTATATAAATGGACTATGTAGGGGTGGGCTTTATATAATTATGGTGTTTTTTGAATTGCATATATGTGTGGGTTTATGGAGTGAATATATATGAGTGTGTGGTGTATATAACTTCTGTGGCGTGTGTTTAAATGGATTATGTGTGTATGGGCTGTATATAATTATTGTGTCTGTGCTTAAATTAAAGCTTATATGTAGACGGTGCGTCAAAAAGGGGTACTTAGCCCGGATTCTAAAGAAATGAAAGATGGCCTGGCTCCCGCTATGGCCGAGGTCCTGCCCAGGAGACAGTATCGACGGTCGGTGCCTTTCGCAGCAGGTATAAAAATTTCCTCCGACGCTCGGCGCCAACCCGCGCACAGCACACTTTACAGGCCGCTCGTTGATACTGCTACTCCTATCATAAACGGTAAGAGATTAGCCATTGGCACACTGGCCTCTTCTAAAACCCTTACCTCAGCATACGAAATCCCGCTAGTGTATTTTCCAATCCTCTTTTCGTCACCCAGTTATATGATTAATGTTTTCGAGTCACCTTTCTCTGCGTTCCAACTACCACGTGCACGTCCCTTTGTCACTTGCCAAAACTGTGCCTTTGCCCTTGCCGGAAACTACTTATTGTCAATCCCAAGGAACCGATAATTTCCCTTATCCCCGATGCTACTTTCCCCACTTTGCAACCCTCCTAATTGGTAACACTGGTCCTCGCACCTCACGCACGAGTACTCGGTATCGGCCCGCGCAAGCTGTCAATCGCGCGAGTTGCCATCCCCTTTGTCCGACGCCATTTGTGGTTTGCCAATACTGCCGCGTCGCACATAACAGACTCTTAGATTTGCTCAGAATACATTTGTAGCGTTGTTAACTTACCGTTTTAGTGGTAAGTCGCTGTAAATATGCGATCAGCTGAGATGCTACAGATGGTCATGTGCCGGATGCTCTATGTGCTAGAGCTTCAAAACTATCGATAGCTGAATCCGTCGATACAATCAATAATTCCATCGAAGTTTGAATGCAATTAACAGAAAATTTAAATAATAACATCTAATAATTTATTGAGATCAATTAGAACAAATCATATACAAACATACATATGTACATCTGCCCGCAATGCGAAGCAGAATCTGCTTTCTGTCAGTATGTATGTATATATGTATGTACATATGCATGCATGTTTCTCTTTACTTTTTCAACCGTACGTAGAGAATCGCACACATAGACACGAACTGTTGCTTGTTCTGTGTGTGAGTGTTATTGATATTTGCGTTCTTTGTAATTTGTTGTTGCTGCATAAAGTTACTAATGAAAACCGTAATGCCAAATGAACTAAACGAAGAAAAAATTACTTTTAAAAATGTTAAATAATTTTTAATTAATTAACATTTCTTGCTCTGTCAGTACAAGACGAATGAACATACACACATACATAGATGTGTACATGTACATAGATGTGTACATATGTATGTGTGTACATTCACACATTAGTGTCTCACATTTTGCTTTGGCTATTTCAATCGTTTACACGCAACTACACGAACAGCTTCTTGTATGTGTGTGTGTGTGTATGTATACTTAGTTGTCCCCAACTGTTTGTTATTTTGTATTGTTTGTTCTGCCTGCATTTGCATAATGCATATGTTGGAGCACCCTACTTAGCTTCTAAGCCTTTCCTTTGCGCTCTCTATTGCGCCCTTTACTGCGCTCTCTGTGGCGCTCTCTTTGTACGTTTTTCTTGTGCTGGTCCGCTGACTTGTAGCGGCAGCAGGCAAAATCACTTGCTAAGTAATACTCGCACGTTTAACATCGTCTGTAGATTCTCCAAGCCATTAAAGCCATATTAATAATCGAAAGATTTCCGCGTGTCTTCAATTAATAACTAGTTAAATATCGTTTGTTGCAATCGCTAAAAAGCTAGCGATTTTTCAGCATATTTTGAAAATCCTTGAACGCAAAGTTGTAGATTTAGTTACGTAGATTACAGTCCCCAAATTTGAAATTGATCGGAAAAAATTTATAACACAAACTTTTCATTTGAAAAGGTAAATAAATATTAAAACCCCAATAATTCAAGGTCCACCATAAAATAGATTATAAAAATCAAATTTAAAGTTGATCGGTGCAGAAATGCAAAATTTTCAAACAAACTTTGGAGCTCTTTTCCCCCCTTTGGAGCTTGAATTTTCGAAGATCCCTTCTTAGTGGGCACCTTCACTATGATAAAATCCTTGAGCCCAAATTTCAGCTTCATAGCCCTTGCCGTTTGGGCTGTTGACGCGGTTTCCTTTTGTGCCCCATTTTTTTTACAGGAAAACTCCCATATTTCAGTCCCCAAAAAAATATTCTAAAAACCAAGAATACAGTTTTTTTTGAATTTTTCTGAGAGTATAGAAACTAAGTTTGAAGTTAATCAGATGAAAATTGTAGATTTTTCATACAAACGGTGGAGTCTGTTTTCCCCCCTTTGGAGCTCGAATTATCCAAAATCCCTTCTTAGTGGGCACCTACACTATGAAAGGATAGTTGAGTCCAAATTTCAGCTTCCTAGCTTTTACCGTATATATATATATATATCCAAGTGCCGTTCTGTTGGCTTCGAGGACCATGTTGCGTAATCCAATCCAAGTGCCGTTCTGTTGGCTTCGAAGGACCATGTTGCGTCCCGGAGGACGTATATATATATATATATATATATATATATATATATATATATATATATATATATGTATATATATATATATATATATATATATATATATATATATATATATATATATATATATATATATATATACGTCCTCCGGGACGCAACATGGTCCTTCGAAGCCAACAGAACGGCACTTGGATTGGATTACGCAACATGGTCCTCGAAGCCAACAGAACGGCACTTGGATTGGATTACGCAACATGGTCCTTCGAAGCCAACAGAACGGCACTTGGATTGCGTAAAAAGCGACGCTTGATTTCATCAGAAATTCCTGGAAGTTGTGTATGTATTGCTAAGTACGAACTCGGACATACACACATACTGGAATTCACACGTTTACGCACATACTCACATGAACGACGACTATTGTGTGTGTATGTATGTATTGAGTGTGCAACGGAGAAATCGACAGCAAAGCGCATTACAAAAATTGAGAGCTGTGGTATGCATGTACTGTTAGCTGCCCTTGAACAGACTCAAGCATAAAAGTTGTATGTATACATGTTTTGATTGTATATGTACACGTACATATATTTGGTAACATTATTGGTGGGAACGATTGGAATTCGTGGAACATTGTGACGTCATACGATCAATGACAACAATGATGGCAAAAACGCGTTCCAACAAGAAAAACCACAAGGCTGGAAAGGTTGCTCAGCAACATCAAATTATGGACACGCCACGTCCAGACCCGAATATTGGCAAGCAGGATGGCACACTTATACAATTGGACGACACTAAGGACACTGTGATGCCAAACAAACATTTACTATTGCCTACATCAACTCCGAAAGGGGTACAACGACTGCAGGTACAAATGGAGTTTTTGGAAAAACAACAACAGCTTCAAAATCAGCGCACACAAATCGAATATCAGGAGAAAAAACTGGAGCTAGAAAGACGAATGCCGATGGCCTAAGTGGACTCAAACAACCTTGGACAACAAAAAGATGGCTCCAACGATTATAACGACCAACAGGCGCAGAAGCGGACACGTTATGAAGTCAAACCTAGTTCTATTGAAACTTTTATGGCTAGACAAACGATTCGACAAGACCAACATTTTCTGGTGATCCAAAGGAATGGCCTATGTTTTTCGCGGAATTTGAATGTAGCACTGGTGCATGTCGATTTACTAATTATGAGAACACTAGTTACAACTACCAATGCAAATATATCCGCTCAATAAACGTAACGCTTCAAGCTGCGCGCAGTTTATGCCGCCCTACTACATGCCACCATAATTAACTTGTTG